CCCAACACTCTGGATTCTAAAGCTTTTCTCCCTTTTTAATTTTTTTTATTTACAGAACAATTTGATTCCATATTAATCATTCTGAACATTCAAAAATACAAGTATTGTTCATTCTATGTAGCTTTGTCTGGATGGTCATGTTTCTTCTAAATTATGTATTTTTAAAAATATTGTAAGCCTCCCAGACTCTTTTTGGAATTGGGCAGCCATTAAATTCCCTAACTAACTTCCTAAAATGCGCTCCATTGCATACAATCCTGACTTTAAAAAAGACCTGTCCAATCTTGCTGTATCTGTATGTATAATGCTTCCATAATCCTTAGCTAAAGTCCTGGGTGATACCTGTGTACAGAGTATTATCCAATTAACTCCACCTGTCAGCAGAACGTCTACAATTAGCAGAAAGGGTACGTGAGAGGTGACTGCACACGTTCTCAATACCTGTTAGGGTGAACTGAAATAACCTTTTAAGTAGTCATTAGAGAAAGGAAGGAGGGGTGAAAAGAAAGGCAATTGGGAAAAAAAACCTATCATGTAGGTCCAGATTTGCACACATAACATATTCTATCTGTAAAGAGAATGCAACTCCTGTGATCTAATCCAATGTATAAGCCACCTTTCCATCTTTTGGATAAAATCTAGCTCTTCTGCCCCCACCTCCCCATTATATGAAAATAAGAAAGAGAAGCACAAGTAATATTGGAAACAGCCAGCAATATGGGACAGTAAATTTCATCAACATCCATCATGCTACCTTGATCCATTATCATGTCCTAGCATCATAGTCTTTGCTATGTCAGTGTAAGTCCCAAACACTTTATCCTGTTTATAATTGCTGATGAGCAGTAATACAGTTTCTATGCCTCAGCTCCTGTACGTTCCACTTCAGTGCCTACCTATTAGGTAATAACTTTTATTTACAGCTTTGCTTCATGTGCCATTCCATTAGTACAAATGAGAACTGAGCAGAGGAAGAAGAAAAAAGTGTCATTAATGGGTACTGTCACTGACAGGACTGATGATGTACATTACATTATTGTACTAGTACTCCATGTCTAATAGTGAAGGCACAGGGATAGTTAGATTTAGTGTCCTCCATCAGTCAAATACTAAAAAGTTACTTAAACAGCACCTTAAAGGTCAACCAAACAGGACTTACTTACTTGGTTGTTGTTGTTTTTCTTTCTTTTTGAAATTAACTTGTGTTTTTTAAATAAAAGCAAGAGTTTTACTATTGTAGAGCAATAGTCTATCTGAATAATAATATTAACAGAACTTTTTTCCCTTGCTGGTTTTGTATAAAAAAATAGGAACAGGAAAAGTTTAAGCATACAGTTAATTTCAATAAATTAACCAATGAATTTGATATTTCCCTTATATTTATTTTCCACAACTTCAAAGCACATCACCGCCAGAAGAGTTAAAAAGTTCTATCATTGCTTCTGCCCTCAATCCTCAGTGGTTCTCAACCTTCCTAATGCCGCGACCCTTTAATTCAGTTCCTCATGTTGTGGTGACCCCCAATCATAAAATTATTCCTAAAACCATTGAAAATATGTGTTTTCCGATGGTCTTAGGCAACCCCAGTGAAAGGGTCGTTCGACCCCCAAAGGGGTCGCGACCCACAGGTTGAGAAGCACTGATCTAGATAAATACCACAGGTAGTCCTCAATTTACAACAGTTGATAGTGGCCATTCAAAATTACAACGGCTCTGAAAAAAGTGACCTATGACCATTTTTCATACTTATGACTGCTGCAGCAGTCCATGGTCACATGATTTACATTTGGATGCTTGATAACTGGTTTGTGTTTAGGATGGTTGCAGTGTCCTGGGGTCATGAGATCATCTTTTTACAACCTTCTGACAAGCAAAGTCAGATGGGGAAGCCAGATTCACTTAACAACTGTAGTGATTCACTTAACAACTGTGGCAAGAAAAGTTTCCAACCAGCCAAAACTCACTTAACAAATTTCTCACTTAGCAACATAAATTCTGGGTTCAATTGTGGTTGTAACTTGAAGACTAACTGTACTTAATAAAGGATAATTATTATGGAATTATAACTTCTGCGCTTTCTGTAGGTAGTCCTTGCTTAACTGGAACCTGGAATTTCCATTGCTAAGTGAAATGGTCATTATTTATTTATTTATTTATTTTATTTTATCAAATTTATATGCCGCCCTTCTCCCGTAGGACTCGGGGCGGCTCACAGAATAAAAACAGCATAACAATAAAATAATGGTAAAACAGGCCAATTTAAAATCCCCAAACAATTAAAACCGTTGCGGCAGATCAGGGAATTTGCTGAAAAAGCCATGTCTTCAGGTCAGCACGGAAAGTGCGGAGGTTGGGGGCCGTCCGGAGCCCGGTGGGTAACCCATTCCAGAGGGTCGGTGCACCCACAGAGAACGCCCTCATCCTGGGGCCCGCCAGCCAACATTGTCTGGCCGACGGCACCCGGAGGAGGGCAATCCTATGTGAGCGCACTGGGCGGTGGGAGGCCGGTAGGAGGTGATCCTGCAAGTACCCTGGGCCCATGCCACGAAGGGCTTTATAGGTAAGTACCAGCATCTTGAAGCAGATCCGAAGGGCCACCGGCAGCCAGTGGAGCTCGCGCAGGAGAGGTGTTACACGGGAGTAATGGGAAGCTTCCGTAACAACCCGTGCGGCCGCATTCTGGACCAGCTGGAGCCTCCGGGTGCACCCCAAGGGCAGCCCCATGTAAAGGGCATTGCAGTAATCCAACCGAGGTGAAACATCACATGACCACACTGCTTAGTGAAAGTGGGTCTGTTAGTCCTGGTTGTGGTTGTTAGGTGAAGGCCATCCTGTAGGTAAGGACTTCACGCTTCTCCTGCCCTGTGCAAACACTGCTTTATCCCACTGCCTCCTTCCCAGCTGGGCCTTTCAAGTTCCTTTCAGAAAATGAGGCTCTGCCATCCTGCCATACTTGCCTGTGTATAAACTCCGACATGCATTCCACTACTTTCTGTGCCTGCCTCCCCCAGCTGACCACGTTAATTATCATTGTTTTCTGCCACATCTTGATGGCTGATGTCAGTTACCATTATTTGTACTTAGTTTGGAAGAGCTGTTTATTTATTCATTTACATCCCGCCTTTATTATTTTTACAAATAACTCAAGGCGGCAAACATATCCAATGGATCTTCCTCTTTCAATTTTCCCAACAGCCCTGTGAGGTGAGAGGGGTTAAAGGGTATGACTGGCTCAGGGTCACCCAGTTGGCTTTCATGATTAAGGTGGAACTTGAACTCATGGTCTCCTACTTTCTAGTCTGCGCCTTAATCACTAGACCAACTGGCTCTATATATCTTCTTTGTATATTGCCATAATCCTTATGGATTTAAAGCAATTCAATCTCATGAATACCAAATGAAGTAAAACTATGACATATTGATTTTATTTTTGTACAGTGATTGTACCACCTTCTCATCTGACCCCAAATAAACAGAAGCAGTTTAAGTTCCAGCACTACTTAAAAACTAGAAAGGCCCAGGGAATCTGTACTGAGTTTCAATGTTAACACATTTCCTTGAAATGCTTTAGAATACTAAAGATCCTTATGCATTTGAAAAATATACTAAATTTACTATTTTGAAATTAATACCGAAATCTTGACATTAATACAGATGTTTCATAAATCTGTATTTAGGGATTTTTCATTTTCATCACTTACAAGATGATGCAGTTTATCAGAGAAAGGGGGTTTAAAATTCTTTTAAAATAAGCATTTGGGGATTCTTCCCTCACAGAGTTCTGTCATGAATTATATGGAGTGCCTTAGAGTAGCTGCTGTATCACGTTTTAGCATAATTATGAATCAAGGTAGGCTATTAAGACATTATATATTTATGCTACCTTTTTATATATAACTCAAAGTGGTGAACATACCTAATACTTCTCTTATTTTCATTATTATATCCCTGTAAAGTGTATTAGGCTGAGAGAATGACTGACCCAAAATCACACTTCCCAACTCCAATCAACTTCAGATTTTGTTGAAGATTGAGGAGAATTTGAATTCTATAATATATTTTTATTGTGTTTACATTAAACATAAACAATTGCTGGGAATGTAATTCTGTGTGATTGCTAACTGAAGGTTACCTGTTGGGTTTCAGCATTTAAAAAAAAGAAGGTATCTATCATAACAGCTGTAATCATGTATCCCTTGGATTTTTATAAAACTATGTTAGGATGATCTTGGTTAATACTTGAATGGGAAATTGCAAGGCTTTGAGAACGAAAAATCAAAAAACATCCCAAAAGAATGCAAACCACTTTTGTATTGTGAAGAAAACAACATGAATATGTCTAGGTAGTGACAAGGGGTTGAATATAGCACAAACTTCACTTTTACCTTCAATTTACAGGCTTGCCAAATCAGGTCATGTGTTATGAAGGAATTAATCCTTCACTCCATATTATTTATTTTGCCACATTGGAGGACACTACAAATTATTGCTTTCTACCTCACCTTGCAAAGAATGGTTTGTCTGGTGAATTCAGAAATTAATGATGCATCTCCTAATGAGTAATATGAGAAGTAACTTCTGGAACATTTTATCCAGCAAGCAGTTTACATCATTGGGGAAGATGAATATCAGACAAATAAGCAAAAGGCACTTGTATCCTTTTGATTATGGAAGTTGCAATGCAACTTACAGTATTAGTGCTTTAATAAAGTCCATATTTTATCTTTTTTCCTCCAGAGGGAAGAATAAGGGCTGGTTGAACATGACTGTTGCTTCTGTAGGAATACTTGCAGGATTAGTTTCTGCTGACTTTGCCCTCCCCCACCACTTTCACTTTTACTAGTAAATTATTAAATACATAGCATAAAATGAGATATGATGGCTTGCAATAGAAGAAATAAGGGTTTTATGAATGAGATCTTTCTCTAGGTCAGTTGAACAGCTTAGTGACCTGGACATTATTCTTTCATAATATATAGTCTTTTAAAAATAAAATTTACCTGAATCACAAGATCTTTTGGTTGCTGTGGTTAAGGAAACATGAGCTGTATCTGTGCATGGCCCACCTAGAAATAGAAATCAATAAATTAATTCCAGTAGTATTAGCATTTCAATAGTGGTAATCCAGAAAAAGACTATTTCTTGGATAATTAATATTGGTTACATGAATCACAACATAAATATTGTGGGAGTGGATAAAGGAAAGGATAAACAGTGATAAGGCTATTTCTGTTTCTCCACTAGCCATTCCTTTCTGTTTCATCTTTATTTTGACTAAGATCCACATATAATAACCCCAACTTCATGACTCCCATATGGTTTTGAACATCTCCTCTCCTTTTTATTTGGTAAATAAAATTCAAAGTTAACCAAAGCCTTGATTACTAGGGTTAATCTACCAGGGTAAAGAAACCTTTTAGATAGCAGACATCATTCATGCACTTTCATGTAACACTGTGGATGCCAATAAAACTAATGAAAATCTAAACATTGACATTTTAAAACACCAATGATTAAATAGTTTTCAAATCTTATTAGGCTTCTTATAAACAGAAATTTTAGCCATTTAACCTAAAAAAATGACTGTCATCAATACCACCATATTGCTTTATTAATATTGCTTTGGAGAACAATGGATGTCATACACAAACACCACTTTGCTGATGTTGATGCAGATACTTTTAAGATCTTATAAGGCTGACATGCTCCAAGCTCCACTGCTTCAGCAGCCTCATCTAGTGGAACCCGAGACATTCCTTTTCTGTCATTGCTTCTCTCCTTTGGAACAGCATTCTACTGAAATCTGACACATCTTGATTCTGTCTGCCTTTTAGGAGCCATCACAGGTATGATTCTTTCCTAAGGCATTGAGTCTGGCAGTGGTGTGGCCTGTTTGATGTATTTGCTGATAAAGAAATAAAGGGAAACTAGTATAGATCTATTTCAAGCTATTTAGCTCTCATCAGCTAGCCAGACCCTTACTCGGATTCAAACTTGGGCGAAGTTCGAATCCGAGTAAGGGTATGGCTAGCTGATGAGAGCTAAATAGCTTGAAATAGATCTATACTAGTCTCCCTTTATTTCTTTATCAGCAAATATAAATTTGATACAAAATAACTTGTCACAATAGCGACTGCCTGAGGGCTCCTGGATTGGAGCTGAAAGGCGAAAGGGAAGCAGTATGCTCCCTCCCATATTGGGGTAGACCAGGTGCTTTGACAGAAAAAACACTAAATATATATATAAATAAAAAAATCCTTTCAATTGTATGGTTTTTGGGAAGTTGTTATTTGACATTGTACACTGCTCTGAGTTGTGCGTGAATGGGCAGCTCTCTCTCTCTCTCTCTCTCTCTCTGTGTGTGTGTGTGTGTGTGTGTGTGTGTGCGAGGAGAGAGGGAGAGAGGGAGGGAGATTAAATAACACACACACACACACACACACACACACACACACAGATATAAAATTTATATTTCGCTGATAAAGAATTTGGTATAAAATGGTTTGTCGTCAATGCAACTGCTTGAGGGCTCCTGGATTGGAGCTGAAAGTTGAAAGGAATGCAGTATACTCCCTTCCACATGTTGGAGTAGACCAGGTGCCTCGATAGAAAAACACACACACACACACACACACACACACACACACATATATATATATGGAAGAAAAGAAATTAAGAAAAAAGAATTACAGGTAGCCCTCAATTTATGAACAATTGTTCAGTAATTGTTCAAAATTATGATGAAAATGTACAAATTGTGCCCAAAGTTATAGCTCTTGCAGTGCCCACTGCTAACGTGTGAATAGCAGGAGAAAAACAGCAAAGATCAGCTGAGTGTAGCAGAGCCTGTGGAACGCAGGGCTGTGGAGGCAACTGGAGCTATGGGCAAAGGTACTGGTATGGCTGGCTGCAATGTAGGATTTTAAAAGGCATTTCTGAGTGGCAGGTGATGGAAGTTGCAGTCTCCTGCACTCATAAGTGCTGCTAGGCCAGCTGTGGTTTTACGATGCACTGCAGCACCTCTCAACTCATGCACAGTCTGCACCAGGTCTCCCAGGGCCTTCCCAACTCCCTTTATGGCAGCCCCCGCCTCCTTACTTGAGATTCCCTCTCCTTAATAACTCAAAATTCTTGAATAAGAAAAAGCTGGGAATGTTAAATTACAGTCACTAAGCGATGCAGTCATGTGATGCCTTGCTTTACAACCGCATCTTTTAGCAATGGAAATTCCGGATTCAATTGTGGTCTTAAGTGCCACAGTGTATAAGGCTTAATTCACACATATCATGACATGATTAAGTCTCTGGTAGCACTTACCCACATGTTAAAAAAAAAAAATTGAGAAGCTGGAAATATTTCAAAATTATAGGCAATCTTATGCTGAACAAATAAGCTGGGAGTTATACATTCCATTTTGATATAAACACAAATATATAATCTATTTTCATGACTCTTACTGTGGTGAAACTATGGTTCAGGATCAGGCTGGATATAGTTAAAAATACAACGTATAAACCAATCATCTGTATGCTGATATAGTTACAGAATTCAGATTCAGATGTTGTTGGGAGAATGGCATTTCTGAAAGGCTGCTGTAAAACCTAATTTTATAGTAAGAAGTAAATCATCAAGGCATCACTGAAAAATTGAGAGTTTGGTAGGCTGAAATCACTAACCTATCAACCTACTGTTGCCAGCATAACTAAAGTTTTTTGTAAAAGATTTATTGTACTCTCATATTCTGTCTTAATTAACATGACATTTGCATAACACAATTAATTTTCAACTATAGGCACAATGGATTAATTAGGAACACATCATCCTTTATTAACTACTTTGTCAATTTCATCTCATCATAATCTTGAAGATTTTACCTCTGCAAGATTAGCCATGCAAACATATACCAAATTCTATATTCTAATAAAGTTCTGGGTATCTCAATGAAAAATAAAACATATAATAAATACAAGTGATACTATAATATCCTTCAAACATGCAATTAATTATTTTATGCCCTTTACTAACATACGTAAAAACTATTTATGAAAAGCTTTAAATTCTAATGATTCAGAGCAGAATCCCTAGCCTTATTTCTGTACCAACATCAACTCAAATTCAGAAAATTTTGATGTGGGATTCTGTACCAGAAAACTCTGCATTCAAGAAAATGTTCAAATTTGAAGTAAGAAGTGATAGGTGACAAACATGAAGATTACCTATTGTGGTAAGAGCCTCTAGATATTCTACACAAATATAGTTCTTAGTAATATAAATCACTGCTTACCAACAAGTTCAAGCAGTTTTTTAATAAATATATGGATTAGAACATGAACAATAGCAATCTGAAACTGTATATTGACTATTTCATATATAAAATATAAGGTTCCTCCTTCATGGCCATGTTAATGTGCATTTATCCTCTTAACGAGCTGGTAGAAAATTATGCAGATATAAATCATACTGCCTCCAAAGGAAATCATTCTTTTTGTATTAAATTTACATCGTGCCTCTCACTCAGAAACTTGAGGCGGTGTGTTAAAGAAGTTTACTGCTCCTTAGCAATAAGGCAAGCAAGAGATATAGTGCTTGTGGACAATTTCAGGATAAGGACTGGTAGAGTCTTTGCCTGTATTTTTCCTTTCATCAAGCGAGATGTCTTCCAAATACATTCTTTCAAGTCCTTATGAGGTGGACCCCATCTCTTGACAGAAGCCCATCATGTAGGTAGAATCTACATTATAGACCATGGTCTACAAATACATTGGCAAGAAAATAACAACCCATTGCTTTCCATAATGGAAGAGTGAGGTAGTTAGAGAACTATGGGCCTCAGTCTGAAACAAAAGTGTTAAGCTGCATTAAGTGAAGATTTCTCATTCTACTGGAAGGTGTTTTTCCACTGTGTGGGTGTGATTTTCTAGAAGACAGCTCAATAGGCAGGAGATAAAACTTCCTTCTATTTCATTCTATGCATATATTGAATCCCACACGGGACAGGTAAACCCATAAGCAACTAGCAGATTTATAAAGGTGCAATTCTCTCTTCCATTAGTTATTTTCTTTTGGTCCAACTATGAGGGAGGAAGAGAACTTTCTTCTATAACCAGCATTCTACTAATATTCCTGTTAATAAAAAATATTTATGGCTACTAAGTTTTAGCCTAATTTAGCCTAATACACAGACAGACATGTGAAAATGAAACAGATCAATAAGTTAAGATTTGTCCTCCTTTTGTGCAGCAAAATAAAAGCAATTTCATTTCAAGGTTAACTACATTATAAAAGTATTGCCAAATGATTCATAACTTTACAATAAATATATTGGTACCTCAGTGCTGGATAGCATTCAGTTAAAAGCTCAATTATTTTAAAGGGCTTCTAGATGGCAACTGGCTTTCTTCAGCTAGGGAATTGCTTTTGTAAACAAGTATACACAGGAAATTTACAAAGTTAAAAATCAACGGTACCAGATCTACAGTTTTATTAATTTATTAAACACATTTATATGGCCCTCCAACTAACATATGGTGACTCTGAGTGGCTTACAAATGGTTCTTCTTAAATACTGGCAGAAAAAAACAGAGTTGAGATAAAGGAAGAACATTGATGCAAACCAGATGGTAACTGAAGACTTGTTTATGAATACTTACTTCCTAGATATCCTTAGGAACCTAATTCTGAGGCTCTAACAGAAGATACCTAAAGAAATGGCAGCTGAAATATGCAAAATGCAGCATTTCAAAATTACTTTCAAAATATGGCACTAAAAAGACATAAAGCTTTTAACTCAAAATGTCAAAAGATTATACATGAATTTAATAGCCAATTTTTAAAAATATCACTGTGGAAAGTGGTAGCAAATAATGGATGCATTTTAGAAGATGCTATCAGCAATATAAGCAAAAATCCTAGACTGTCCTTTGAGAAACTTGCCTAAACCCTGAATCTATCCATGAATGTGTGCAATTGGAAGATGCCTAATTTATCTACATAATCTTTGAAAAAGATCATTGATTAGAAATACAAACATATAAGAAACAACCAAAGAGAAACTAAATTTGTCATGGAAATCTTTAGAGCTACTGCTTGTAATCTGCATATATAGCCATGTGTAGAAAACTTTAGCAATTTCTTTTTAGTAATTTTTGTTTTTAAGGCTGTGTAGGGTCCTTCTATTCAAATGATGCTAATTACATAATTCTTTTTAAGTGTTGCATCCTACAAGATTTGTGTAGCAAAGTTATTTGCTTCATATTATTTTATTATTTCTATTTCTCATGCTTTCATCTATTCTTTTAAGTTTCTGCACCCTCTCATCTTTTGAACTTTTTTCTGCATCCAACACAGGAAAAACATATAAAGTGAAATTGCTCCTTCTCCTCTTTGGTGGGGTCAGTTTCTTTTCATTATATTTTTCTAGTTGTATATTCCAATCATGGGTTCCATCCCACCAAGTTTATTATATCTGCCTTCATGTACTAGGACTTCAGATCCTCCCTGTTTGTTCCCCATAGTTTGAGCATTAGTGTGTAGATATCTGAGCCCTTTTTTTTTGACTGACCTTGTGTTTGCTTGCTATGTCTCCTGTTTTATACCTGAGTGCCCCTTCCTTCTCACCACTTCCATTTTCAAATTAACTGTCTTGGAATTTATCCTTTGGGTTTGGTCCTAGAAATTGGCCTCTTTCCCCACCAGATTTAGTTTCAAGGCTTTTGGATGACCCAAGCGAGATGTCTTCCAAATACATTCTTTCAAGTCCTTATAAGTTGGACCCCATCTCTTGACAGAAGCCCATCATGTAGATAGCATAGAGTCTACATTATAGACCATGGTCTAGAAATCCAAAGTTTTCTTCATGACACCATCCCTTCAGCCAGATGTTTTCCTCTGAAATCCTCCATCCCCTCACTGGATGTTGACCATCTATTGGAAGCATGGATGAAAATACCACATGTGCTCCTAAATCTTTTGCCTTCCTATCTAGTCCTTCATGGTCCCTTGATACCTTTACAGGCTCTGTAATGCAATGACACACATGTCTTGCCAGATCAAACTGCTTTTTAAGTACAGATTTTTCTCTAAGAATATTTGGATACTTAAGGAAAGTTAAAAAAAATTCTACATTTATTCCCATTAAATAGGACTACAATACTGTATACTGCAATATAAGCAAAATGTTACAATTGTTCTCTGTTTATATTGCAGAACAATTAACCTTAATTTATGACCTTGTCAAGTTTGTTTGGAAGGATAAAGCTTAATAAAATGATGTCTTTTAAAACTAAGAACACTTAATAAAACTTTGGTAGAAATGAAGTTAATGATTACATGTCCCTATTCTTACTGAAATGCAGGCACTCTATTCAGTATAGTATGAAGAAATGTACTGTGCTGAAAAATATTAATATTTTAAGAAACATTGCAATGAAAGAACATTTGCATTATAGAATTTTCTGCAAAACAAAATAAACAGAGAAAAAGCTCTTAAATCAATATTTAAAATACATTTACAGTTTGGACATTCTTCATTATGGGAAAGAAACTTTCACACTGAGACTATCAATTAGAAAAGCTCCATCTGCTTTATAATTAGCTCTGATAAATGATACTAATCTGAACAACAGAAGAAAACTTTGTTTGGGAGGGCAAGGAAGGAAAAGAGGAATAGTTGAAACTGCATATAAATTTAACCTTGGTTTTATTTATAGTCATTCCAGCAGAAAGCCATCAAGAATTTTGGATAGATATTTTCAAACATGTTGTCTTGTGCTGCCTCGTATCAACTGTCTTACTATGCAAAAGTTGCAGAGTTAACATATTTACAAAATAATTTCTCTCATTTGTGTTTCTTTACAACGTAATTGACATAACTGTAACAATTTAGTCTAACAAACAAGAGGCTAGGAAGTAGACAATCATTAACTTTGGTGTATCTGCAGAGAAATATACAGACAGAGCTATTTTAATCAAATATTTCTATGCATATAGTAGGCAAAAGAAATACTGAGTTGTGAAAAAGAAAAAATCAGTAGGTTAAATTATTTTTACCAATACATGGTCGCCCAGGGTTGCTACTTTAATGAAGCTGAATTACATCAGATAATGTTTGGAGTCCTGTACTGTTTTGTGTAGAAAAGAAACCAACACCAGAACTCTTATGGATTTGGGGTTTGACCAGTTTGAATAGCTAGCTGTGAAGAGTGATATAGATGAACTGGGAGGATGATAAAAAGAGTCTAGTATGTACAATTAAGTTGGAACATAAAATGTCAAGGATAAGGGCTGATGTATGAAGAGCAAGGAAGAAGAAAAAACTAAGAAGAAAAAAGAAATGTTAGGTTGATTGATGAAGGGAAAAAGAAAAGAACTTACAGATCAATTCCCTAAAAGAATGGAGAGAGAGTAAACTCTCCTAAACCTTACATTTAAGAGGGATCTGCCATAACCAAGTGGATATGATGGAAGTGGTGGAGTTCGAGATAGAACAGTATTTGATGGCTTGTGGGTTGTTTGAGCATTTTCTCTGTAACAATTGGAATCACTGGTGGGCCTCTAGTATTGTTTCCACTTCATTAGTGGGCAGGATGATAACAATGATAAAGTTGAAATCTTGGATTACTGTAACATGCCTCTACAAGAGGCTGCTTCTGAAGACTATTCAGAAACCACAGCAGGTGTAAACTGCATTGGCTTACTGCTGAAGGGTGAAAGCTGTTCAACAAGATAACACCTATATTGCAGACACCATATTGATTATTAACATATCCCTGGATAGAATTCCAAGCACTAGTTATTGCTTATTCAGCTCTTCCTGGCTCACATTCTAGGTAACTGAGGTATCATTTGTTCCACATAAATTTGCCTATTCTGTATATTCCTGCCAGAACGTTTGCTACAGATTTCTAGAGTCTTGAAAAATAAGAAGACTCTGAGGCCTGGACTCGTATTTTATATTAAATATAAATAGGGAAGATCCAGTGGAAGTGGATCAATCTACCAGAATGAAAGAGGAAAAATGACCTTCAAAAAGCTTGTTTTGCAAGAAGTATTTATACCCACTGTATACATGGTGCACAGTACCATCTATATTTTTGTAAAAAAAAAAAAAAAAAAAAAAAAAATCTGTAGAAATGTTATAGTGAAAACTTCTGTTTCTAAAGCATAATCTTAACAGTTAAATTATAGATTCACAGATTAAACTGGGAAGTATTCTGAAATGGATATATACAAGCAACCAAATGCTTTTCTACAATTATATCTAAATAAGAAAGAAACATTTATTCCCTTTTCTTCAACTAGAACTTGACAATCATTCTCAAGCTCTTCTCTACCCCTAACTTTAAAGGGCTAAAATCCTTAAATTCCAGAACAGCCTAATGTAATCTCCTCTCAGTCTGTATACTTACATTCCTCTTTGCTCAAGGAAGTTACATTCAGTTCTGTCGAAAGTTGCTGGTTGGAGTTAACAGTCTGTGTCAATAGAGAGGTATTACTGTTGTCACTATTTGTTTCTCCAGAGAACAAATCCGATTGGCTGTTACTTGTGCTGGGAGTGGACTCATCATCTGGTTGCTTCTTTTGAAAATCTAACATGACACAAAGTTAAAGAAGTGTTACAAGGTCAAAAATACATTATTCAATATATAAAAAATATTATATTTTACACAGAAATTGCAGATACTTGTAAACGAGTCAAACCTAGTTATAACTCTTTCTTTCTCTACAAGACGATATTGTGACGTGATTCAATGGGCACTATTTCATTAAAAATGTCAGCTTATATATTTAACAAGTATTTAAAAAATAGAAATAACAGTGTAGTAAATCATTAAATGGGACTAGTGGTGCTGTTTTTTTTGAAAATTCTAAAGTGGCAATGAAAATTGTTCTACTTTAGTTAACTGTTTTGAAAGAAGCTGAATTGTTCTATTAGGCAGAAAACATTATTTGCACTCTGAACTGACTTTATTTATCACCAATTAGTGTCATTTCAAATTATGGATTTTTTCATATTGTATTCCTTGCAACTTTAGGTCGTGGGTTTAGGAAATATTTAAAATGTATTTTTTTTGCTTAACTTTTTAAAACAAACAATTAAATCCATGATTTCTATGAACTTGCATTCCTTTACTTTATTATGAATATGTTACATTTAGAGGTGTGTTTTGGATTAATTTTTTCAGAATCTATCCAGAGACTTGTCAATTTGGAAATATCTATTCAATATCAACACTATTTTCTGACTAAACATTCTTGTTTGGAACTTTGGCCAACAATTATTTTAAGTAGTTTTGAATGCCTTTATATTCTCAAATATTTCTCTAAAAAGGAAAAAAGTTTTATGCAAACTTATATGGGCACAAATTGACATGTTCAGTGATTCTATAATTCGAAGGTTTATGTATGTATATATATATGTGTGTATGTGTGTGTGTGTGTGCGTACGCACACACACACACACGCACAACACCCCTGTCCCAGAGTATTCTATTGGGATGAGAGTAGTAAAGATTTAGTCTGTCAAGATTCTATCTATTGAGTGTAAGCAAATAAAGAACTGGACTTTGGTAGGATTATTCTAATGTACGTCATTCTTGGGTTGGGCCTGACACGTGATCTTCAAAAAGTAAAGTGCAACAAAATATTAAAATGTATTTATATAACAAAAGAAATAACAAAGACAGAACAAGGAAAGAATTAAGGCAATGTTCATTACTAGCTTTTCCACTATAATCACTATAAACTGACACCCAGTATCAGTTTATATTTAGTTTATTTTAGTTCAAAAAGAAATTAACTCAACTGAAATTGTTTCAGGGTTATCTTTCCTGCAATAAAATCTGAATACCATATCAAAGGAGAAATAATAAAATTATAAATCTTTTTTTGCTAATACCACCAGACGTGCTATTCTTCTTTAAAGTGAAAAAAAATCATACATTTTAAAGCTCCATTTGCAAGCCTCTTACGTGCTTTTTCTTTCACACACAAACTTTTATATTACTTTATTAGAGAACTACATTAAAAAATTGGGAAAAAAAGGGGGAAGGGAATTGCGTGGCAATTTGGCTTTAAATTTGAGAAATGCATCTTAGATCAGCTTATATTAAATGCAACTAAGCCATAAATATGTGTCCAGATTCATCTGTTGTTTCTAGCACCAGCAGCTGAGCTGTACTGAGTTTTCAAGCTAGAACCCTCCTTCCCCGAAACCCACCTGCTTCATATTTGCAAAAATGTGTATAAATGACAACAGTGACTTGCCTATTTTCATTTTCTTTTACTTCTCCTTAGCAATTTTAATCAGTACAGAACCACCCAATTGTATTTATTTAGTATTTAAACAAATCCCCAAATTAGAAGATAACTATAGGGAAAACCACAAGGTTTCCAGGCTAAAAAAATCTTCAGTGCAATGCTGGTATCACACAGAGAAATCTCAGAAGTAGGCTTATGAACTGATTGATACAGAATTTAATTATACTTCATTCAGAGAGCATGTGGAATTGAGTATTATTTTAATAAAAAAAAATCCACAATCAATTAGTATCTCTTGTAATGCTAGCAACTTTATAGCCCTCACTTATATGCCCTTAAAGATGTCTACAGAGAACTCTAGAATTTAGGAACATGGGTCTATTATTTTTAATTAATTTCTGTAGACCACCACCTGAGTTTCAATTAGAGCTTAAGTGCAGCTAATTTTCATAATCTAAATTCAAAACACTTTCAAATGTTTGCCTCAAAAGTGAGAGGAGAATTCTAGTTAGAACGTAAAATATACTTTGAATAAGTCTTCTAGAATATAACAAATGAAAGAAGATAGGTTAACCATTACAGACTTCAAATATATGAAAAGTATCAGAGAAGCAGCATATTTTCAAAAGTTACTCAGTGGTGACATTTACAAATAAATAAATAATAATATTGATGATTTTTAGTTTGTCTAAAATCTAAAAGTAATTTAAATTCCATATCAACTGATTAAGAGATTTAGTTTCCTAGCACATATTTGCTTACTCCTATATATCTGGAGGTGTGATTTTTTTGGAAAGAATTAATGTTGTGACAGGAAGAGGGAACATCTAACAGCTTAACAAAAGAAAATGAATTCATTATGTGTAATATAAAGAACAGGCCTTGCACACAATTCACAGAAAAATAAAATATCAAATTAATGAGCTAACACTTCTAAGAATTTTTTATAAACCTCAAACAATGTTATTACCTTCCAATAGGGAGGGATTTAGCATGTCTGTTTAATTCCCCTTTGCTTTTTAACTTTTATATAAACTTCTGAAAAAGTTTATCTGGGCTATTATATGCAGGTGACACTGTGTTTCTTTCAGAGGTACCGGGCAGAACCCTTACTTATAGTTTCCTTCCTATATTGATCCTATTAACAAAAAGCCCCAAGATAAATAAGTGAAATATCATGCAAGGCAATTTAAATTATTTAAATATTTAGTGTTAGCAATTTCATGCCTAAGGAAATTTTTTAGTTCTACCAATAGAGTCACTTGTTGAGATGGGTGGGTACAGAAATCATATAAATACATAAAAATTTGAAAGGAAGCAATTTTAGGTCTTTTCTTGTCAACCTATATTAAACCAGGGCATTGGCGTAGTCTTCTATACAGAACTCAGTTAGGGTCATATTCCAATTATTCTCCCCTTGAAATACTACTACCCTTATTCCTGAAGGCAGTGCTTTCAAGCCCAACTGCAACCACAGTACTGCCTTCACACTGCAGGCTGATTTACTTAGTGTGGAAACTCATATTTAGCTAGCAATCTTTAATCTACTGAGGTTTAATTTCTGGCCAACAGGTCTGGCTCCTCAAATAATCTTTGATAATTCCATTCAGCCTAAAAGACGACCTATTGGAAACAACATTGACCAATGGCCTCTCTCAAAGGTCCATGATCTATGATCAAACTAGGGTACTTCTTAAATAGCAATTTCAGAAAATTGAATTGCAAAATAAGTGAAAACTGGTTCTTGGTAATGTTGAATGTGTATCTAATTAAATGGCATACTATCTTGGAATCGCCTGGTAACTGCAAAGCCTTTTCAGAAGATCTATTTAAAGTTAGTTGAGCATCTTGTAGTACAGGAGCTTTTATAGGAAGCTACACAGTAGCTTTAATAAACTTTGTAGACTATTTAGATGCATTCTTTCTCTCTGTAAACAATAGCCTGCTATTGCAATCTATCAAAATTTTGCACGGGTACATACATAGTGTAGCAATAAATAATCAATGGGTGCTAGCAAAACTAGTAGTCCTTTTCTGATTGTTGTGTAATCTCCAATTGTTCTATGTTATCATAATTGGAATTACTGTAAGTTAATTGCAGGTTATTTCAAGTACTGGTCTTTGGTCCTAGTAAATACTTTATTCATATGACACCCCTATAATGCTGATGAAACATTATGTTCAGGCATATCTATCAAGCATGCCTTATACTTTATTTGTAACATCTGTTCCTAGCTTCTGAATTCTTATGGCATGGTAGAAGAGAAGTTATCAGAGAAGACAACCTGATCACGGCTACAGAATTAGAAAGGTAAATTGACCATTTATATTCAATTTATTAAACTTAAATTTATGCCCAATTTATTGAACTTAAAACAAATTAAGTCAATTTACTTAAATTTAAAACACTTTCAAGGATGGAATTCTAGATTTATGTGTTCGAATTTAAATATTTTAAGTGTTTATCTAATTTACTATTTTAGCAGCAGCTGCTCTTACCTCTTTATGGAATTATAAACATTAAATATGTCATTTTTACCATACCACAATCTGATCAGAAAAGATTATTTGCAAACATCATTAATAAGATTTGGATGACAAAAATTAACTTTCATCCTCTGAATATTAATATGACTCATAACGTAATAATAAATTGGACCCTTAAATAAATTGGGACACATTTAACAACCCACAATCCTTGCTTAACAACGATAAATGGGAATGCCAGGTTTATCATTACCAAATGTTATGGTAACACATGATGTTGTACTTTATGACCACATAGCTTAATGACAGAAATTCCAGGCCCAATTATCATCTTTAATCAAATACTACATATAGCTCCTACAGGTCATTCATTCATCATTTGGACAACCATTTAGGTTTCCTGCCTGAGCAGGGGATTGAACTAGAACACCCAACTCTAATATCCTATCCTATCCTATCCTATCCTATCCTATCCTATCCTATCCTATCCTACCTTACCCTGAGAAACACTAGCAATATGAGTAGCAAGTTACATACATTTAAGTGTATTTTCAATAAATATTATAGGCTAACACAAAGAGAAGAATAAAATATATTGGTCATTAGACAACATATATAATACAACACACACACACACACACACACACACACACATATATATATATATATATATATATATATATATATACACACACACATACACACACATACATACATACATACATACATACATACATACATATATATATATATATATATATATATATATATATCAGAAAGGAACTAAGATCCCTTTGGGAGATTTATGTTGCTTATTGGAACATCTGTGCTATAAATGGGA